CTCCCTGTGGCTTCCTCTCACATATTTATACATGGCTAGCATATCCCCTCTCAGCCTTCTCTTCTTCAGGCTAAACATGCCCAGCTCCTTAAGCCGCTCCTCATAGGGCTTGTTCTCCAGACCCTTGACCATTTTAGTCGCCCTCCGCTGGACACATTCCAGCTTGTCAATATCTCTCTTAAATTGTGGTGCCCAGAATTGGACACAATATTCCAGGTGTGGTCTAACCAAAGCAGAATAGAGGGGTAGCATTACTTCCTAGATCTAGACACTATGCTCCTATTGATGCAGGCCAAAATCCCATTGGCTTTTTTTGCCGCCACATCACATTGTTGGCTCATGTTTAACTTGTTGTCCACGAGGACTCCAAGATCTTTTTCACACATACTGCTCTCGACAGGCCCATAGCCAGGATTTCATTTCGGGGTGGGGGGGGGGGGTGGTAAATTTTTTTCAGGGGGGGGGGGAGGGGGGGCTGAGTTTGATTCAGGAGGGCTGAGTCTGAGTGAAAGAGGGTCTACCCTAGCAAACCTTTTGTATCATTACCCCAATACCCCCATGCATATGGGATATATTGAGTATGGTGATGAGATCATGATATGAATAAACATAACAGTTTAAGTAATGCACCAGTAAGGCCTTTTCACGAACCACTAGGAGAATTTCGGGGGGGGGGGGGATGAATTTTTCAGGGGGGGTTTCGGGGGGGCTGAGTTTCAGAGGGGCTGAGTCTGAGTGAAAGAGGGTCTAGCCTAGCAAACCTTTTGTATCATTACCCCAATACCCCCATGCATATGGGATATATTGAGTATGGTGATCAGATCATGATATGAATAAACATAACAGTTTAAGTAATGCACCAGTAAGGCCTTTTCGCGAACCACCATGAGAATTTCGGGGGGGGGGGGGCTGAAGCCCCCACCCCCCCCCCCCGGCTACATGCCTGGCTCTCGAGCCAGGCATTCCCCATTCTATATCTTGTCCCCAAGATAAGAACCCAATCCATGAAATTGTTCTCCATTCCCCAAATTTCTAGTATTGTGGAGAGTGAGCTGCTGAAAATCTGAAAAGCTAGAAATCTATTTGCTGCACTCATATTCCCTTGGTCACTTGCCTCCCCTCGATCCCCAGCTTCCTCAACTGTATCCATTTTCAAGTTATCGGAACCCTAGAAATTTGGTGACAATTTTTTTACACACACAGCAAGCATAATGAGACACAGGCTGATGGATCACAATAGCAACAGCAGTTCAGCCAAGTCTGATACTTTTTTTCCAGCCAGGTAGTAATTATTACATTTTACAGAAATACAAGAAAGCGTCCTGCAAAATTTAAAAAAGAACTGTGTTAGTCACAAAGTGAGGTTTTAAAAGTTCTTTCATCTATTGCATGAAAGAAGGAAGGGTTTACATTCTCTCTTTCCAAGCGTTGGCTGTAGCTGGAACCAAAATTTGGGATTAGACAAATATTCCATCAGAAGCAGCATGAAAATTCTGATGTTGTGTTCCTCCCAAGTGCCTGGTCTGTGATGAATTAGTAAACCTTGGCTGGTTAGAAGGATTAAAGATGAATCACCTTTGCGTCGCTCTTCCTTGAGCCTTTGAGTGTTTTCCACAACTCAATTTTTGTTCGAGTTTCTTAGTCTCTTTGGCTTTTGAGGAGATCTCCAGGAGGGGAGAGGGGAGCATCAGAAAGCTCTGTAATGTTCTTCTAAACCCTACTTACATTTCCTAACTCCTCTTGTCCCCATTTTTCCCTTGCACATTTCAAAGACTCCTTCCTTTCAGCTGTTGAATCCCATTACTCTTCAGTACTTAGAGATGTATTACTTTCCTCTGTACTTCCTACAGTGTTTTAGTTCACTTACCAGCAGGAAAGATCAGAGATCAGCTACAAAAAAATGCTTCCTCAGAATGCTCCAGGGAACTGCCTTCTCTCCAGAAATGCAACACTCTACATAGATATTATTATTATTATTATTATTATTATTATTATTATTATTATTATTATTATTATTATTATTTGAAACACAACAAGATGAGTCCACAGCAGACAAGATCGCTCTGCTGGCTGTTGTATTGGATCACCCAAGTGTCTAGAACTGTGCAATGTATCAGCAAATAATGTGTGGAGATCCCAGTAAGGTAGCCTTCTGCAGCTGGCAGATGGTAATTTTGTCAGTGCCGATTGTGTTTAAGTGCAAGCCAAGGTCTTTAGGCACTGTACCCAGCGTGCCGATCACCACTGGGGCCACCTTTACTGGCTTGTGCCACAGTCTTTGCAGTTCAATCTTTAAATCCTCATATCGTGTCAGCTTTTCCAGGTGTTTCTCTTCAATCCTGTTGTTGCCTGGGATTGCAACATCAACAATCCATACCTTTTTTTAAACATTATTGTGAGGTCAGGAGTATTGTGCTCTAAAAGTCTATTATTATTATTATTATTATTATTATTATTATTATTATTATTATTATTATTTGAAACACAACAAGATGAGTCCACAGCAGACAAGATCACTTTGCTTGCTGTTGTATTGGATCACACATCGGACACTTCCCAAGTGTCTAGAACTGTGCAATGTATCAGCAAATGATGTGTGCAGATCCCAGTAAACTAGCCTTCTGCAGCTGGCAGATGGTAATTTTGTCAGCAACGATTGTGTTTAAGTGCAGGCCAAGGTCTTTAGGCACTGCACTTAGTGTGCTGATCACCACTGGGAGCACCTTTACTGGCTTGTGCCATAGTCTTTGCAGTTCGATCTTTAAATCCTCATATCGTGTCAGCTTTTCCAGTTGTTTCTCTATTATTATTATTATTATTATTATTATTATTATTATTATTATTATTATACAGCCTAAGAAGAACCTATTTTTCTTCAAATGCTTTGTTCAGGGGGGGTTGACACTGCTTTCTTTTGTGGTTGAAAGGGTATGACTTACCAAAAGTCACCCATTAGACTTCCACTTGGAGCAAGCATTTGTACCCTGGTCTCCAGAGTCCTAGTCCAATCTCAAAGCACTACATTATGCTGGCCCCTAGTAAGCTAATAAAGTTTTTCATAAAGTTCAACATTCAGTAGTTGTACTTCTCTTCATGTAAATCTCTCACTAAGAGTTTAGGTATCAAATACATCCATGTCATTTTAATCTGTTGGTCTTGGCCACACTCACTCACTCTCTCTTCCTGCATCATTTCATCTGCAGTTACTCTATATCAGTGATTCCCAACCTGTGGTCCATGGACCACCACTGGTCCACAAGAATGAAATATGGTCTATGGCCTCACAATTACTACACTGTTGCCTCACACAGCAACAAGAGCGACTGGTCTTGTGAAACCCTCTTATAGTGCCAAGACAACAGGGAAGGGAAAGGCTGGCTACCCACAAAAGATTACTACTACCACGTCAGCTCTAGAGTATTAAATATGGCTTTCTGTGGGCAAGCAGATGGCGACTACTGGATAGCATATGTTCCAAACTAAAGTTGATTTAGTCTATCTAATGCAATTTTCTGAATCAGAACCCGAAATAACCAAACCAATTCTAAAGTTGACCAAAAACAGATTCATTACCCTTTTACAGGCCCGTAGCCAGGATTTCGATTGGGGGGGGGGGCTGAGTTTGTTTTGGGGGGGGACTGAGTCCGAGTGAAAGAGGGTCTACCCTAGCAAACCTTTTGTATCTTTACCCCAATACCCCCATGCATATGGGATATATTGAGTAGGGTGATCAGATCATGATATGAATAAACATAACAGTTTAAATAATGCAGTAAGGCCTTTTTGCGAACCACCATGAGAATTGGGGGGGGGGGCTGAAGCCCCTCAAGGCCCTCCCCCCCTCCCCCAGCTACATGCCTGCGCTTTTGGTACTAATGTTGGAGAGTAATCCTAGGTCAAAGTGGTCCCTGGTCAAAAAAAAGTTGGGAATCACTGTTCTATATACTCTTGTATACATTTAGAAATATTAATCAAAATTTTCACACAAAAATCCTAGGTAGACTTATGCACTGTATATTAACAGCTGTAATAAAAGAAATCATTCTTTTCTCTGAATAGACTGGGATACAGTAAGACATTAGTCCATCCCAAAATAACTTAAAAGAAGTATTGACCTCCTCTACTCTCTCCCATGACACAATTCCAGGCCTTTTTGAATGCCTGGATGGGAAAACGACAATAGTGATGGCCAGGGTGGTTGACCCCCCCCCCCTTGGGGTGCACTAGTACTTTTCCTTCTCCACAGAATGACCCTTGGTTTATCCATGGAGCATATCAAGATCCATAGTTTTGACCTTCAAACCTGCCCTTGACATATACATGAGTTCAACTTATATAAAAGTACCGTATATTCCGGCTTATAAGACGACTGGGTGTATAAGACGACCCCCAACTTTTCCAGTTAAAATATAGAATTAAGACGACTCCCATGCATAAGACTACACCCGCGTATAAGACGACCCCTGTCTTTTGAGAAGATTTTCTTGGGTTAAAAAGTAGTCTTATACGCCAGAATATACTGTATATATGGTAGCCTCAGCTTATTTGGCTTCCATTTGATATGTCTCAAATTCTCTCTCTCTCCATGTTTGAAAAGCACATGTTAGAGAGCCTCTTACCATGAAATGTTATGAAATCTTTAGATGTTGTAAATATGTTTGCTTTGATTTACAAAAATTCATCTTGCATTTATTTCTGTCCTATATCCTGTGTGTATGGAGTGATGGTGTGGGATTGGTGGTTGCTCACCTTCTGCTTGAAAATAACAATTACCCTGTTTTTAATATACTTCACTGTCAGTCACATCCTCTAACAGAGTTGCAAGCATAAGACATGTATGGAGAAGGGTCTGGGCAAGAGTGTATCAAATTGTTATGACTGTAGTGCAAAAACACTTTTAGCATTCTGATATTTGTGCTGGACTGTAACACCCTCTGCTCCTTAGTTATTAAGTGGGGGATCTTGCAACATTTCTAACTTCGTGGTTTGTCTCTTTTCAGGCATTATTAATAGAAAAAACCTGAAACCATGAACTGGTCAGGCTTTGAAGATCTCCTTGGTGGGGTCAACAAATACTCTACTGCCTTTGGGCGTATCTGGCTCTCAGTGGTCTTCATCTTCCGTCTCCTCGTCTACTTAGTGGCAGCTGAGAAAGTTTGGGGAGATGACTCCAAGGACTTTGACTGCAACACGGAGCAGCCGGGCTGCCCCAACGTCTGCTACGACTTTTACTTCCCCATCTCCCACATCCGTCTTTGGGCCCTGCAGCTCATCCTGGTCACGTGTCCTTCCTTGCTAGTGGTCATGCATGTGGCCTACCGGGAAGCCAAACTGAAGAAATATTTGGAGAAAGAGGGACGGGACTCTCGACCCCGCTATCCCCCAGGCAAGAAGCGTGGGGGCTTGTGGTGGACCTATTTGTTCAGTCTCCTCTTCAAAGCTTTTGTGGACATCATCTTCCTCTTTATCTTCTACCGAGTGTACCCAAGCTACAAACTTCCCCCGTTAGTTAAATGTTCCCTTCCCCCTTGTCCCAATGTGGTAGACTGCTACATCTCTAGGCCTACCGAGAAGAACATGTTTACCTTGTTCATGATTGTGACGGCCTGCATTTGCATCCTCCTCAGCCTCGTGGAAGCTTTTTATCTGGTTGGGAAGAGATGTAAGGAGAGCCTGGTGGCCCGAAGCGAAAGCCATGAGGGACCCAATGGGAATGCACTTATTCTCAAAAGGGACCCTGGCTGCCTTTCCCCCAGTAAGCAAAATGAAGTGAGCCCACAGGTTTTCCAGGGGACAAATTACAAACCATTCACAACACCCCTCCTAAATATGTCACAGCATGGGGAGATAGAGCCCTCAAAACATGAAAAACTAGGGTAATGACTCCAGAGAAGAGGGGGGAAATGAAGACCTTGGGATGGGATCAAAATAGGCTCAATCCTTCATCTCCTACTAGGTAGCAGAAAGATACAAATGTGTTGAAGGGTGAGATGGGAGAAGAATGTGAGCCTACTGTCTACTCCAAATTGTATTAATTAATATCAGGTATTTGCACAACTCAAGTTGTTCTACTGCCTAATGACTATGTTTTCCTTAAGAATACTTGAAATCAACCCAGCAATGGAAGAATCAATCAAGACTGCACCCAACAGATGGCTGTGCCACCTTCTAGTATATGCCATTCCATGCCACTTGTGACCCTGACCTCCAAAATAATCTTATGACTACATTCCAAAAGTCACCATCCAGGCAAAATCTTACCAGTAGTCCCAATTAAAGCATTGACTCAGTGGGTTTATCTATGTGTTGAATTCCCATTGAGTGGCCCTACTCTAGAACTAAGTAAAGCAAGGGTGGGAATAAGGTGGCCTTCCAGATGTGCTTGAACTACAGCTCCAATTAAAAATGATAGTTAGGACTGCTGGTAGTGGTAGTTCAGCTAACTCTAGGGGCCTCATGGTTCCCACCACAATCGGTACTTTCTTCCTACTACCAGCAACATTACTATTTTCATAGATCATTTGGTACTTCTGTAAATCATGGTGCTATCTTGATCCTGGGGGTACCTCCCTCTTAATATGTGGAAGCCAATTGAACTATTTTGGCTACATATGCATTGGCACTTATGCCTGAACCAAAGAGACAATCATATTGACTGTCTAGAGATTCTCCAGCACTTTTGACAACATCTGTGATAATTGCCTACTAGTAATAAATTGCACATTACCAAGGAAAGAAGGAACAATCCAGTTTAGTTTTCAGGAGAGGACATTTTTTTATACAGGTCAAATATCCCCTTATCCAAAATGCTTGGGACCAGAAATGTTTTGGATTTTGCAATGCCTCCACTTGCATGTGTGCACATATGGAGATTTCTTGCAGATGGGTCTCAAGTCTAAACACTGATGTTTCACGTACATCTTATACACATAATCTGATGGTGTTTTTAAATGATTTTGTGCATGAAACAAAGCTTGTGGACATTGAACCACCAGAAAGCAACACTGTCACTATATCAACAACTCATGCAGAGCATTTTGGGGATATTTTGGATTTTGGATAATGGACACTTAACCTGTATTGCAAAAAAAAAATGGTTTGATACTATTTTATATACCTCTACATGCTTATAAAATCCATTTAATATATACATTAATGTAGATTCCTCTGGTTTTTGCTTCAAAAGGCACAGAGAAAGTGATTTTAGTTGCAAAATGCATTTGATGTAATAAAATATCTCAGGTACTATGAGTCATGTTTCTCTGCTGTGTTTTCTTTGATTCGTAAATGCTTCCTCTTTTTGTGATTTTGGCAGTTGGGTTTTCCACCAAGCAAGCTTGGAAGTGACTCGTGATAGCAGAGGTTTTAAAAGTTTCTTTGAGGATGACAACTCCAAGAATCTCACGCTAATATGAGGCTATTTGTAGGAATATTTTTTAAAGATCTGCTTGGGAGCAGAGAGAACATTGATAGAAGAACCAATAGGTCTGAACAATCTCTAGGTTAATTTTTTCATATTATTATAATAATAGTATTTATTTATTTATTTATTTATTTATTTACTAGCTGTGTCCTGCCACGCAATGCTGTGGCCTATAGTAAGAATTTTCAAAGTAGAGGTAGATATCTGGACTATTATGAAAGAGAGGTACCCCCTTTTCCTTCCCCTTTCTCTCCTTTCGTCCTTCTCTACCTCTTTTTTTCATTCCTTCTTTTGCTCTTTGGTTTCATCCTTCCTTCTCTCTTTACTTCCTTTTCTCCCCCTTTCTCTACTTCTTCCTTTGTCTTCTTTCTTCCCTCCCTGTTTCCTTCCTTCTTTCACTTTTTATTTCCTTTTCTTCACTTCACTTCACTTCACTTCTTTCCTGCATTTCCCTCCCTTTTTCTTTCCTTTTTACTTTTCTTCTTCCTTCCTTTGGTACTTCTTTCCTTCCTTCTCTCCTTCCTTCTTTCCCTCTCTCCTTTTCTCTTTCCTTCCTTCCCTCCCTTTTCCCCTCTTTCAGTCCTTCCCTTTTTCCCTCCCTCCTTTCTTCTCTCCTTCATTCCTCTCTGTTCTCCCCCAATACCATGGTAGAGTCCCGTCTAAGTCTATTCTATGAGTCTATTTAATATAGTAATATATAGTAGTAACATTATATTATATAGTAGTATATATAACAATAAAATATATAATATATATGTATTATACAGCAATATATATAATAGTAATATATAAAGTATTATATATATAGAAACGAGTTGCAATCCATCACCTTTGGAAAGCTCAAGGAATCACTCTGCACATGCTCAGAGGTACCCAGCAATTCCAAGAATCTTTGCCCACAAAATTTCTCCTCTTGCAGGCCTCAGGCCCCAATCTCGGGCTCCTGCCTCTCACCTTTTCTCCTCTAAACAGGAGCCTCCTCTGCATTAAATAAAGCTTTTGGTCACTCTTGCTGGACCTGGAGAGTGGTGGGAGGGGTAATCCTTAGCTCCCCCCACCCCCGGAGCCATGTGACACAAACTTAAAGTTAGCATAGGGCTGGAAACCTGCAGAGCTGCCTGCCTGGGGAAGCACTTCTTGGGGGGGGGGGAGGGGGACTCACCCTTCTCCACACCCCATAGTTTGAGGACCCCTGATGTAAAGGATAGTGACAGGGTAGCAGGCCTGCGGGGATGAGGGCTTTTCCTCCAGCTCCTGAAGGGAGGGCCTCCATGGGAGCCTGCTGGGCATGCGCACTCGCTGCTGGCCATGCACGTGCACTCCTTCCCTCCCCCTCCCTCCCTGAGACTTACAGTTGAACATCTTTCTAAGGGGAGTGGGGGAGGGAGAAGTGTTTTTTTTGGGGGGGGGGGTTGAGTGGAGAACATACATTGTGTTGTTAGGTGTATTGTGTCCAAATTTGGTGCCAATTGCTCCAGTGGTTTTTGAGTTCTGATGGTATCACAAACAAACATTACATTTTTATTTATATAGATATCCCACCACCATTGCCAGGAGGGACTCGGGGTGGCTCACAAAACACTCAAGGTGTGACATGCGAAATATAACAAGTGCAAAACAAAATACATGAGCAGACAATAAACAATCAACACAACATCATAAATTCAAAGTACTCCCTGGTGAAAACAATAAAATACAACAATTGCTGTAAATCAGCATTTCTCAACCTGGGGGTCGGGAACCCTGGGAAGGTTGCATGGAGGTGACAAAGGGGTTGCCAAAGACCATCAGAAAACACAGTATTTTCTGTTGGTCATAGGGGTTCTGTGTGGAACGTTTGGCCCAATTGCATCCCACAAGGATGGTAAAACATCAAAACATCCGGTCATCCTCTGGGATTATCTCACACCAGAAGCGACTTGCAGTTTTTCAAGTCGCTCTTGACACAAACAAAAAAAACTGCTCTACAACTCCCAAATGTCAAGTCTATTTTCCCAAACCCCACCAGTGTTCACATTTAGGTATATTGAGAATTCGTGCCAAGTTTGGTCCAGATCCATCAAGGTCAATGCTCATCAAAGCCTTCCAATATTTTCTGTTGGTCATGGGAGTCCTGTGTGCCAAGAGTGGTTCAATTCCATTGTTGATGGAGTTGAGAATGCTCTTTGATTGTAGGTGAACTACAAATCCCAACAACTACAACTCCCATATGACAAAATCAATCCCCCAACCCCATCAGTATTCAAATTTGGGCATATCGGGTATTTGTGCCAAATTTGGTCTGGTGAATGAAAATACATCCTGCATATCAGATATTTACAGTATGATTAATAACAGTAGCAAAATTACAGTTTTGAAGTAGCAACGGAAATAATGTTATAGTTGGGGGTCACCACAATATGAGGAACTGTATTAAGGGGTCGTGGCATTAGGAAGGTTGAGAACCACTGCTGAAGATAAAACAACAGTATTTGATATCAGAAGTATAAAGTGCTCAGAGTCGGCCCTAGGTAATTTTCAACTGTAAGCAAACAGTATTTTGGTACCACCCAACCAATCACTGATATATATTTTCTGTTTGTCATGGGAGTTCTGTGTGGCATATTTGGTTCAATTCCATCATTGGTGGAGTTCAGAATGCTCTTTTATTTTAGGTGAACTATACATCCCAGTAACTACAACTCGCATATGTCAAGATCTATTTTCCCCCAAGAGTGCCTCAAGAGTGCCCCTGGGCAAAATCAACTATACTGCAAATGTTTACTTTGCGTAATGGATTGAGCCACCCCTGAAAGTGCTAATAAAGAATCTAAAGGTCCTGATATATACGAGGGGTATTTTTTAAGTAAGGTCCGTTGGAACATAAGTACACAACGAAAGTTTATTTCTAAAAAGTAAATTTATTTTCAGAAAGTACATACTTCACTCTATTTTTCGACATAGTTGCCAAGTTTGTTCAAAAACTTATCATACCTCTGAACCAATTTTGAAATACCCTCTTCATAAAAACTTGTTGCCTGCTCCGATAACCAAATCGTCTGTAATCAAAGAAGGGCAAACGGAGCGGTCCTCATCATGGACGTTGTCACGGCCATCTTTGAATTGTCGTACCCACTTACGCACTTTGCTTTCACTCATAACAGTATCACCGTACACTTCACAAATCTGTCGATGAATTTCTGCAGCAAGCAAGTCTCTTGCTGACAAAAACCGTATCACTGAGCGAACCTCACATGCGGCGGGTGAGTTGATAGTCTTAAACATTTTTAAAGCACAGAACAGAACCGTACAGGTTAGCTACAGAGTGGAAACTGAGCACAGTTGTTCCCGAGGCACGCCGATACATGACGCACGTGCTAGTTGCGGTATGCGCGTGAACTACTAGTGTCTACAACAAAACGGACCTTACTTTAAAAATACCCTTCGTATTATGAGAGAGTCTAAACAGGGTTGAAGGTTTGTCAGAAAAGCCATGCCTTTAATTGTGTGCAGAAGATTTGGAGGGTGAGGGCTAGCCCGCTCTCCCTCAGAAGGATATTCTAAAGCTGTTGGGGGGGGGGCACCACCGAGAAGGCCCTCTCTCTCGTCTCCACCAACCATGCTTGAGATGGAAGTGGGACTGAGAGGAAGGCCTCCCCAGTGGATCTTAAAGCCCATCGCTGTTCACAGAAGGAGATGTGGTCTCGAAGATAGGTTGGACCCAGGCCTGTAGCGAGGGGGTGGTTTTAGGGGTTCAACCCCTCCCCCCCGAAATGTTTCAGATTTTTTTAAAAAACCTGGTTTACTCATGAATTTTAACTGGTTAATCAAATCCTCATGCTAAGTCTATGAGATGCAAAAAATTAAGAGTCCCTCCAGAACTGCAAGCACTATCTCAAGCAAATATTGACAATTTATTCACACTGTCATTACTTGCAGCACTAGCCGATGTAGCGAAGCAACCAAGTTGTGGGGGGGGGGGAGTGTTGAATGCTCTCATTAAGGAGGCCAGACTTGGTGGAGGTGGTTGACAGGGGCGGAGCTGCAGGCTATTGAAGGCTGCTCTGCCCCCTGCTGTGCTCTTTGCTTCAGTGTGAGCTAGGAGGCAGGTTTCAACACCCACCCACCCCCACACGAAATTTTCAACCCCCCCAAAAAAATTTCAACCCCTCCCGAAATTTTTTTCTGGCTACGGCCCTGGTTGGACCCGAAGCATATAGGGCTTTAAAGGTAATAACCTGCACTTTGAATTGGGTCCGGAAACTCAGCACCAGTCAGTGGAGCTGTGTCAATAGGGGTGTGGTACGCTCCCTATAGCTAGCCCCAGTTAGTAACCT